CCTTATCCACTGACCCCTCCTGTCTTCTCGACATGGAGACATGGTCAGAAAATTTCTGCTCTTTATTGACCTAAGATAGGTTTTTAGATGATTCAAAGTAGCAATTATGTCCTGATGTGGTTTTCTCCTTACCAGGTGGAATGTCCTCCTTTTTATTATTAGTTCCCTGTATCTACCCATCCAACTACCTACCCATCCATTCATCCACCTACTCATCTATCCACCTACCCACCTATCCACCCACCTACCCATCCACCCACCTACCCATTAATCCATTCACCCACCTACCCATCCACCCACCTATCCATCCACCAACCTATCCACTCACCTACCCATCCATCCATTCACCCACCTACCCATCCACCCACCCATCCACTCACCTACCCATCCACCCACCTACCCATCAACCCACCCATCCACCCACCTACCCATCCATCCATTCACCCACCTACCCATCCACCAACCTATCCACTCACCTACCCATCCATCCATTCACCCACCTACCCATCCACCCACCCATCCACTCACCTACCCATCCACCCACCTACCCATCCACCCACCCATCCACCCACCTACCCATCCATCCATTCACCCACCTACCCATCCACCAACCTATCCACTCACCTACCCATCCATCCATTCACCCACCTACCCATCCACCCACCCATCCACTAACCTACCCATCCATCCACCTACCCATCCACCCACCCATCCACCCACCTACCCATCCACCCACCCATCCACTCACCTACCCATCCATCCACCTACCCATCCACCCACCCATCCACCCACCTACCCATCCATCCATTCACCCACCTACCCATCCATCCACCTATCCATCCACCAACCTATCCACTCACCTACCCATCCATCCATTCACCCACCTACCCATCCACCCACCCATCCACTCACCTACCCATCCATCCACCTACCCATCCACCCACCCATCCACCCACCTACCCATCCATCCATTCACCCACCTACCCATCCACCCACCCATCCACTCACCTACCCATCCATCCACCTACCCATCCACCCACCCATCCACCCACCTACCCATCCATCCATTCACCCACCTACCCATCCACCCACCCATCCACTCACCTACCCATCCACCCACCTACCCATCCATCCATTCACCCACCTACCCATCCACCCACCTACCCATCCACCCACCTATCCATCCACCAACCTATCCACTCACCTACCCATCCATCCACCTACCCATCCACCCACCCATCCACCCACCTACCCATCCATCCATTCACCCACCTACCCATCCACCCACCCATCCACTCACCTACCCATCCACCCACCTACCCATCCATCCACCCACCCATCCATGCACCTACCCATCCATCCATTCATCCACCCACCCATCCACCCACCTACCCATCCACTCACCCACCCATCCACCCACCTACCCATCCACCCACCCACCCATCCACCCACCTACCCATTCATCCATTCACCCACCTACCCATCCACCCACCTATCCATCCACCAACCTATCCACTCACCTACCCATCCATCCACCTACCCATCCACCCACCCATCCACCCACCTACCCATCCATCCATTCACCCACCTACCCATCCACCCACCTACCCACCCACCCACCTACCCACCCACCCACCTACCCACTCACCCACCTACCCACCCGCCTACCCATCCACCCGCCCGCCCACCCATCCGCCCACCTACCCATCCACCCACCCATCCACCCACCCATCCACTCACCTACCCATCCACCCACCTACGCATCCATTCCTCCACCCATCTATTCATACACCCATACATCTACCTACCCATTCATCACTTCACTTACCCATTCATCCATCCATCATCCATCCATTCATCCATCCATCCATCCATGTGCTCATCCATCCACTTACCCAACAATCCATCCATTTGTCCATTCAGTCTGTTGGAGTGGTCAGCACTCACTAATTGGGCAGTGCTGTTCCCTTTTTAGGAGGCTGGCACTGGCCCCCACCCTGAGCCAGCAGGTCCCCTCGCCCTAAGCATTCTGACCCCCCAAACACCCTATAAGATTCTCAAAACATTCACAAGGGCAGTGCCCTAAGCTTGGGAACTTTTTGTCTAGGGAGGTTTATTTGTGTTGAAAACAGACCTTAGCTAAACTATATCAATGGCTTAAACAATATATTTTTTTTTCCGATTGCAAAAAATAACTGTTCATTGTGAAAATTTACATTCTCTCTTTATTCTGGACCCTTCATCAGAAAATAAAGGGTGGTGGCTTCCCACCCACCCCTCATGCCCTTCCCCAGGGTGTGCATTCTTCCATGCTCGCTCGCTCGCTCGCTCGCGCTCTCGGCACAGACGCGCAGTGGTGGGGTCTTCGTTACAGATGGAATTGCTGATAAAGATGGGATTATCTCACAAATGCTTTTACGCAGTATACCGTACGGCAGGACAGCATTTCCAAAGAACTTACTTAAATCATTTCCTCCAGCCTTTCCGTCATCCAAGAAGGCAAGTCAGATTAGTTTTAATTACATGTCTGTTATTTTTTATTATTATTGTTATTTTTAATTCTCACTCGAGGATATTTTTCTGTTTATCATCAGATAGAGTGGGAGGAGGGAGGGAGAGAGAGAGGGAGAGAAATATTAATGTGAGAGAGACACACCGACTGGTTGCCTCCTGTGCCACCTGACCAGGGCCAGGGACAAACCGCAACTGAGGTACGTACATGCCCTTGACCGGAGTCGAACCCGAGACGCATTGGCCCACGGGCTGATGCTCTAACCGCTGAGCCAACCCAGCCAGGGCTCCATGTCTGGTTGCACCCTGTGCCTTCCTAGGCAGCTGTGGTCCCCTGGTACTGCTGGTCTGCCCAGGCTGTGACAGTGCCTCCCCGCCTCGCCAGGAACCCCCGCGGCCGCCTGGGCACTGGTCGGCCTCCCTGCCACCTGGGGCTCTCTGTGGGCGGGGCTGCTGCCTTCTCATGTGTGTGCCCCAGGGTACAGGCCTGGCCCTGCAGGGCAGTGTGGTGGAGACTGGGTCCGCGGGGCCAGGGGCAGCTGCAGCACGGGCCACACCTCTGATGCTCGCGTGTGGGATCACGCGCACTGCCTGATGGGACAGGTCAAGTTCCGTTATCTGTGCTCGTGTGTGTGGCTGGATGTCGCCTTCAGGGCCATCAGTCCTGCCTGGCTGGGGGAGGTTGTGTCCAGGACCAAGTCCAAGGCTACCCCATGTGGTGCCCATCTCCTGTCACCGCCAGCTGCCTCCAGGCAGCATGTGGAGCGTCTTAATGGCTTGGGTAGGAAAGAGCTAAGTTCAAGCCCTCAAGACTGGAGGGTGGCACATGAGAGCCCCTGAGAGTCCCTGCAGCTCCGTGACCTGGACCCGTGCAGCACTGTGACCTAGGCCCCTGCAGCTCCGTGACCTGGGCCCGTGCAGCACTGTGACCTAGGCCCCTGCAGCTCCGTGACCTGGGTCCATGCAGCACTGTGACCTACACCCCTGCAGCTCCATGACCTGGGCCCCTGCAGCACTGTGACCTAGGCCCCTGCAGCTCCGTGACCTGGGCCCCTGTCGCTCCGTGACTTGGGCCCCTGCAGCTCCGTGACCTGTTTATTGACCAAGTAGTCTGTCTGCTCTCTTTTCATCTGTGAATTTATCATCTCTCCCTTTGAACCCTGGGATTGCCTGTAGGTCCTCAGCTTCCGTGGTTTTCTGTCACTTGCGATCTTGGTGGGCTAGTTTGCTTCCCTATTGGACAGCTGTCCTGGCTGACCATGAGGCCAGTCACTGAAGCTTCTGGCACCCAGGCAGCAGCCTGCTTCCTGGGCATCTGGCCGTGGTGCCCGCTGCTCTGGGCACGAGGGAGCTTCAGTGCTGGGACGGCTCTATTCCCCTGTCCACCTTCTATTATAGGCAGGAAGTTCCTTCGTGCTTTGAAGGGCCTCGAACTGTGGGTGGAAAGGTCCCAGAAGGAGTCCAGTGGCTGCTGCCTGGGACTGGAAGGGGGCCCGCACTGCTCCCCTGGGTGGGCGTGGGGTCGGCTCTGCAGAACTGTCTTCCCAGTGAGGCTGCGCCGGCGCCCTTGCCCGGGAGCCATCTGTGGCGCCTGAGCGTGGACTCGGCACAGGAAAGGCGTTGCGCTGGGCGGGAGATCGGAATCCTCGGCTGTAAGAGGGGGCGACACCTTCCACTGAAGCTGGGCCTCCAGGCGGGGCCCTGGCTGCTGGGCACACACCCCCTCACCCCTCGCCCTCCCCACCTCATACCCCGGTCACTCTCTGGCACCTCAACGTTTATGTGTTCGATTTTAAAGTTGTTTCCTTGCAAAGATGCCGTCATGCACATTTGCAAAATGAAGCACTAGTAAATAAAAAAAAAATAGGCCAATTTTTAGACACAAGCGTTCGTCTGGATAACTTTTCTGTGAGGATCTGAAATTAGTTTGTTCGGGTGTTGGATAACCATTTCAATTAGGCATCTGCTTTGCATCTTAAAACTTTTAGAATAGGTTTCCTCGAGGTCTTTCTGCTTGAGGAGGGGCCACGGGGCCGCGGGGCCTGGGAGCCTGCTTTGCTGGTCTGCTCCCCGCCGGAGGGTCTGCCTGCGCGGTCCTGGAGCCCTGACCTGGGAAATGGGTTCTAGAGGAAGTGCCGCCCAGTGCACAGCTGGACACCTCAGCACCGGGTTCTCGTGTTGTGGGAACCCTCAGGTCTGTCAGGAGTGAGGACGTACCTAGGGTTCTCTCCTGTCAGGAGCTGGGATGCCTGAGAAGCGACCGTTTGTACCGTGTTAATTATGTTAATTGGCGAGGATCCAGGATATTAATCATCTGCATCAGATTAGGTATTAAAATTGAGGACCAGTAAGTGATGAGGTGGAAGAAACAGAGTCACCTCCACAGAGCAAGAAAGTGGGACCTGGAGAGGGAACAGCAGAGTACACTCCTGTGGGGCTCCCGTGTCGTGGTCCCGTGTCTAACTCTGTGTCTTTCCCGTGCTCTGCAGAGGAGGAGGACGGGGACGTCGCCGATGTGTCCCAGGTGCCCACGGACGTGCTGCGCAACGTGGAGGCTGACACGTACTGGTGCATGAGCAAGCTGCTGGACGGCATCCAGGTGAGCATCCCGGCGGGCTGGCCCCTGAGGCCCGAGTCGGAGGCCGCGCTGGCCCCAGCTGGGCGGCTTCTGCAGCCGGAGTCGTGCTCCTCAGCGACGGCGTGGGCAGTGCCGTGTGCAGAGCTGCGGGGCCCCGGAGCCGCCATGGTGTCCTGCGAGGGTTCCAGCGAGTGGGGCTCAGCCGCAGGGTCTGGTCCCCACACGTCCCGCTCTCCTGGATCTGCCTGCGACTCCAAGGTGTGCTGGCGTGTGTGGCTGACTCGCAGGCCTGCCCCTCAGAAGGCTCAGGTTTGGGGTCTCGACATCTACAGCCCCAGGGCCTGTAACCAGAGGGCCCACTGCCCCTCCGGCCTGGGGCCAGGGCTCTGAGGGCTTCGTCAGCCTCGCTGTGTCTGGGCCCGAAGGGGCCTGCTCCCTGGCCAGGGCTCTGCTGGGCTGGCTGTCAGCTGGGCTGGTGGCTGGGGTTCCGCAGGACAGCCTCGGGCCTCCGGCGCCACAGATGCTTCTGTGGAAATAGTTTGGGGACAAACCCTACATGGTGCCGGGAAGGACGGGCCCTACACAGTGCCGGAAAGGACGGACAGAGCCTACGCGGTGCCGGGAAGGACGGACAGAGCCTGCGCGGTGCCGGGAAGGACGGACAGAGCCTGCGCGGTGCCGGAAAGGCGGGCCCTACACAGTGCTGGAAAGGACGGACAGAGCCTGCGCGGTGCCGGGAAGGACGGACAGAGCCTGCGCGGTGCCGGAAAGGACGGGCCCTACACAGTGCTGGAAAGGACGGACAGAGCCTGCGCGGTGCCGGGAAGGACGGACAGAGCCTGCGCGGTGCCGGGAAGGACGGAGCAGCCCTACGCGGTGCCGGGAAGGACGGACAGAGCCTACGCGGTGCCGGGAAGGACGGACAGAGCCTGCGCGGTGCCGGGAAGGACGGACAGAGCCTGCGCGGTGCCGGGAAGGACGGACAGAGCCTGCGCGGTGCCGGGAAGGACGGAGCAGCCCTACGCGGTGCCGGGAAGGACGGACAGAGCCTGCGCGGTGCCGGAAGGACGACAGAGCCTGCGCGGTGCCGGGGAAGGACGGACAGAGCCTGCGCGGTGCCGGGAAGGACGGAGCAGCCCTACGCGGTGCCGGGAAGGACGACAGAGCCTGCGCGGTGCCGGTAAGGACGGACAGAGCCTGCGCGGTGCCGGGAAGGACGGACAGAGCCTGCGCGGTGCCGGGAAAGGACGGAGCAGCCCTACGCGGTGCCGGGGAAGGACGGACAGAGCCTGCGCGGTGCCAGGAAGGACGGAGCAGCCCAACGCGGTGCCGGGAAGGACGGAGCAGCCCTACGCGGTGCCGGGAAGGACGGACAGAGCCTACGCAGTGCCGGGAAGGACGGAGCAGCCCTACGCGGTGCCGGGAAGGACGGACAGAGCCTACTCAGGCCGGGAAGGACGGAGCAGCCCTACGCGGTGCCGGGAAGGACGGACAGAGCCTGCGCGGTGCCGGGAAGGACGGACAGAGCCTGCGCGGTGCCGGGAAGGACGGAGCAGCCCTACGCGGTGCCGGGAAGGACGGACAGAGCCTGCGCGGTGCCGGGAAGGACGGAGCAGCCCTACGCGGTGCCGGGAAGGACGGAGCAGCCCTACGCGGTGCCGGGAAGGATGGCAGAGCCTGCGCGGTGCCGGGAAGGACGGACAGAGCCTGCGCGGTGCCGGGAAGGACGGACAGAGCCTGCGCGGTGCCGGGAAGGACGGAGCAGCCCTACGCGGTGCCGGGAAGGATGGCAGAGCCTACGCGGTGCCGGGAAGGATGGCAGAGCCTACGCGGTGCCGGGAAGGATGGCAGAGCCTACGGGGTGCCGGGAAGGATGGCAGAGCCTACGCGGTGCTGGGAAGGACGGAGCAGCCCTACGCGGGGCCGGGAAGGATGGTGCAATAGAGAGCAGGATGAGGACTGCCGCCTGTGGCGGTGCTCACGTGAGCTGCGGCTGTCAGGATCCTTTTGTGCCCACAGTTTTCCCAGACGCCTGCCCTGTGCCCTGCTCTGCTCCGGGAAGGAGAGGGAGAGAGGCGAGGCCCGCCCCGGAGCGCTTCTGGGCCGGGGCGGACAGGGTGGCGCTGCAGGGAAGAGACCCGCCCCTCGGGGACCTGCACGTGAGGCAGCGTGAGGCTCGGAGGGGACTGTTCATTCCGCCCACAGCGACGGGTTTGGTTTGTGGGAGTCCCGGAGGGGCCACCTATCCAGTGTCGCGAGGACGGCGCCGCAGGGGTGGAGGCTGCGCAGGACCCTCTGTCCCAGGTCCGAGGGCGCTTCCGCCTGCCCCTGCCCCCCGGAGACCGCTTCTGCCGAGCCCTTGGCAGAGCTGGCGTTTCCCATGCCGCTCCCTGGGGAGGTCTGGCTGCGCTGCCTGCCCTGCAGAGGTCGCGCAGACTCGCCTGGGCTGACCGCACCCCCTGCCCGCGTTGGATCTGGTGAAGAACAGTGTGCCTGCCAGGCAAGTCGGGCCTGCTCACCAATGTTCCATTTTCCTAGTTTGTAAACATTTTCAGTTTCCAGTCTTCCAAAACTTCAGAATCCCTTTTCTTAGAAAAGAGCCTGAACCACGCACGGTGTGAGACTTTGTGAATGTCACCCGTCACTTCCCTGGTCACCAGAGGTGACCCTTCTGCCAGTTCAGTCCCGCATGACCCGGCTTTGCTGTGGTGAGTCAGCTCTTCAGTGGGCTCGATGCTGCCCCTTGTTTTCCGCCCGAGCGTGTCTGCTGGGGCGGCTTCTCGACGAGGGAGGCCCGTGGCAGCCTGCTGCATGTGACCCCACCCGAGCAGGTGTAGGGTGCCAGTTCCCACCCTCAGGACATGCCCCCGGGCGTGCGCGAGCCCCATGGCCGTCGGAAGTTGGGAGCCAGGCGCTGGCTTCAGGTGGAGAGGAAAGCGGGCTGGACGCCAGCTCCCTGGGGCCTGGACGCCTGCCTCCTGGTGGCCGCCCGGCCTCGGCCTCCGCGCCTTTCCTAGGGCTGCGCCGCTTCCTCAGCCCCTTCCCGCCACATCGCCGCCCTGCTCCAGAACCATTAAAACTCACGTCTGGTTTGTGATGTAAACTCTCAGCCGGGCCTTCCCCAGCTGTTCTGGAGCTCCGTGGAGTTAGGTTCGTTCTCACGTGGTGCGCAGCCCACGCCTCGGCCCGGAGGACTCAGGCAGAGTCGCGGGGCCGAGACGGCGGTGGCTTTCCTCCTGAGCAGGGGCGGGCTTCTCATGACCGGCAGGGTCGCAGCGGGCTTGATGTGAGGAGGGACCCGGCGTGCTGCGTGTCTCCCGCCGGTCGGGGCTTCCCGACGGTGGCTCTGTCCCAGGACAGCTGCTGTTGCACCCAGCCCCAGGCAGCCTGGCTGGGACCCACGTGTGGACCCTGAAGCCTGTGGTTCTCTGCTCTGCTTTTTCTTCAGCTAAATTAAGTAGAAATGATTCCGTTTTGCCAGAGAAGCCTGGAGGGGAACCTCTGCTCACGTTTCTTACCCACACACCCTGATGGGGCCGCTGGGTTTGGGTTCACCATGGGCCTCGCTTGGAAACTCTGCGTTCTGCACTTGGCCAGAGCATGGTCAGCACCCACCATCACTGGGTGCTGGGCACAGCTTTGGGGGCAGGGGAGTCGCTGTGCTCTGTGTCCCTGCACAGCTCGTGGCCGCGGGCGGGGTGAGAAGGAGGCCGCTGGGGGAGCAGACAGCCTGGGGGAGGGGCGCTAGGGGAGCAGACAGCCTGGGGGAGGGGCGCTGGGGGAGCAGACAGCCTGGGGGAGGGGCGCTGGGGGAGCAGACAGCCTGGGGGAGGGGCGCTGGGGGAGCAGACAGCCTGGGGGAGGGGCACTGGGGCAGCACAGACAGCCTGGGGGAGGGGCGCTAGGGGAGCAGACAGTCTGGGGGAGGGGCACTGGGGGTGGAGGCTGCTTTCGTAGTCTTTTTTTTTTTTTTTTTATCCTTACCTGAGGACATTTTTACATTTATATTTCAGAGAGGGAGGGATGGAGTGAGAGAGAGAGAGAGAGAGAGAGAGAAACATTGACATGAGAGAGACACATCGAGTGGCTGCCACCCACACGACCCCAACCGGGGCCGGGGACAAACTGCAACCGAGGTACATGCCCTTAGCGGGAACCGAACCCAGGTCTCTGTGGTCCGCAGGCCGACGCTCTAATCGCTGAGCCAAACCGGCCAGGGCAGCTATTGCAGTCTTCGTTTCCTGAGCACACCGTCGCCAGGGCTGCCCCAGAACAGGCTGCCACCTCTGCCTGCCCACCGTCACCCTGTGCTCCGGAGTCACTGCGGAAGAGGCCGCCCCGGAGCAGGAGGGCCGCTGCCTGTGCGGCCAGCCCTTCCCACTTTCTTTCCGGGGGAGAATTCTGCACGTCTGAGACCTGGTCAGTGGCACGGAGGTGGTGGCAGTGTTGGGACTGTTACCTCGGGACTCTTCGGGGAGAAGGCCGGAAAGGTGGCGGTCCAGTGAGTGACTGGAGAAAGGCCAGGGCGACAGGCCTGTGGCGGGGACTGGAGCGGACACTGGGGGAGGAGGGTGGGTCCCTCAGACGCAGCTGTGTGAGTTCGCTCCTGCAGGCGGTGCCAGCAGGGAGAAGGGGGACAGCCCTGTCACAGAGCCAGAGCCTACTCCTCGAGTCCTTGGAGAAGTTTAGGCTCCAAAAGGCAAGCTTCGTGGGTGGCTGAGGATCCCTGGAAACGAACTGAAATGCTGGAACCCGGGACCAGGCCCGGGACGTTATCTCAGCTAGAAGCAAAGGGAGGACCAGGGGCTGCTCTGGTGCTTGGAAGGCGCAGACAGCTGGCTCTGACAGGCCTCTGTGAGTGTGGACGGGAGGGGATGAATGGGGGTGGGTCCGCTCCTGCCTCCTGTGCCCGCTGAGCTGTGCTGTCCGTGGGGAGTCCGTGAGCTGTGACTCGGAGCCCCAGTCGATAGCGCTGAACACTTGCAAACACTGCCCGAGGCTTGTTAAACAGACAGCAAGGT